CCTGGGCAACAGAGTGAGACTCCAAATCAAAAAAAAAAAAAAAGAAACTTGAGTTCTTGAGCTGTGATGAGTGTGTGAGGAATAAGTAGAGTGCTCTTTAAGTATCTAGCAGGCAAATCTAAGCCAACTTGGCAGTTGAGGGTAATCTAACCTCTTGTTGTGAAACGGTCACTATTTTCCACAAATCCCTTTTCCTAGCATGGTAGTTGCTCAAAAGTATTGCATAACCTATTGTGGCTTATTGAAATTAGTTTCCTTGTAGCAGTCTTCTTTCTTGTTTCCTCTATGTTCTGAGAGATAAAGGAAATAATTTTTTAGTTTATTGTAGAGATGAGGTCTCACCAAGTTGCCCAGGCTGGTCTTGAATCTGCGGGCTCAGGCAATCCTCTCACCTTGGCCTCCCAAAGTGCTGGGATTATAGGTGTGAGCCACCGCACCCAGCCCATTCCCCATTCTTATTTGCTAAACCTTCTAACTCTAATATAGTCCACAGAATATGGAATACTTAGAAAAAACACCAACAGTGGGAGGGCAGGGGACTCAGATTCACTGAGGTTGACAAGTGCCAGATTATGGGGTGACTCAGAGAAGTTTCTTCCTTTGACCTACTGACTTCCTTTTCTCCACACCTCAGTACGCCAAGAAATATTTCCACTGTGCCCAAGAACTCGCACCAGCGCATCATGGGGGGTGCTGCCTCTGCTCTGCCCACGGGCATGGCCCGCTTTTGATGTCCCGTGAAGTGACTGTGCTCGATCTCACCTCGCTCTCGTTGCAGCAGAACACATCCGAGAGGGCATAGAACTGGGGGTCCAGGTCAGCGGCGGCAGGGGCAGGATTGAACAGTGTCCTCACTGCAAAGGAAGGGAGGAGCTCAGTGGTTTTCACCGCATGGTGCTCGTCCCATGCCCAGGAGAGGAGCCCCGAGGGAGGCACTGCTGTGCTCATTGGATTCCAACTGTCCACTCAGTTACACACGTGGGAAGGTCTGAAACTTCAATCTCCATGACAGCCTGGCACCGTTTCCTTCCTATTTCCATTTTCTCTACTTTTTACTTTCAACAGTTCAGCGTCAAGGGTAAGTGTCAGTCTTCAATCAAGGTGGTTACAGAGTTAAGGCAAAGGCGACAAGAACTTTAAAGAAAAGCAAAAACACTGTGGTATGAAAGGACATATGTCAACGTGAATAGGCTGGTGAACAATTTTGTGGGTTGCTTTAAGTGCTCAGTTGTGAGGCTGGTTCGTGAATCCATTTTCCAGGGAAGAGAAAAGACATGATAGAAAAGCAACACAGGCCAGGCTCGGTGGCTCAGCCTGTAATCCCGCACCTTGGGAGACTGAGGTGAGTGGATTGCCTGAGCCCGCGGGTTCAGGACCCGTCTGGGCAACTTGGTGAGACCTGATCTCTACAATAAATCAAAAATTAGCCGGGACGTGATAGTGCGCACCTATAGTTCCAGCTACTTGGAAGGCTGAGGCGGAAGGATCGCCAGAGCCCAGC